GCCAGTTTGAGCAGAAGCTCCCGCTCGAAGAAGCAAGAGTTTTTCGCGAGGCGTGCGCAGCTATTAAACGACAGTGTATTTTCTGGAATGTTGAGAGGTGAAATTGTCAGATGGCTCTATGAAGTATTTTCGTAGAGTAGAACCCTGTGTGGAGTAGGTGGGAGAGGGATTAAAAAGTAAAAAACAGGAAAGAAAGAAAAAGAAAAAAAGAAAGAAAAAGCAAAAAAAAAAAAAAAAAAAAAAAGAAAAAAGAAAGAAAGAAAGAAAAAAAAAGAAAGAAAGAAAGAAAGAAAAAGAAAGAAAAAAAAAGGGACAAACTACCTACTTAATCAATTCTTTCCCCTGCAGCACATTGAGGGAGTCGGCAATTCCTCCCAGGTTCACGCTTCCGCTGTATCCGCCTACCTTGCGGCAGATGCTGCAGGCGCAGAGTTGATACGGGACTGGCGTCTGCGAGTCAAGTGTAAATTGTACACCACCGCATTGGCAGCTTCCGTCGAGTTTCCTGTGTATTTTCTTAGTTAGTGATTAGGGACTTATAACGCTTTCATTAGCTGGGGACGGGTGTGTGAATTTGTCTTCGAGATAACGAGGTGAATCGATATGGAGGTGAGCGAGAAGTATGGTGAGCATATGTATTTGAGAGAGTCTATCTAGAGGTGTATGCATATATCGACAACAATTAATTAATTACAAAAATACGTAGCAGCGATGCACTCACATTGGCATATTTGACTGACAGCCAGTATAGAAGCCTAGAATACCTGTCTTCGTAATGGAGGGTGGGACTCGTTCTAAGAAAATGCCCGGACACAATGCGACGGCTCAGGGTCAGGATCATTTCTTTTATTTAAGGTCTGGTCGCTAGCATTGCTGTCATAAAAGAGTTTCCGTATTCCTTTTCCCAATAATATTCCTTGCTGCCGGTTCGGCATCTGACGTCGTGAGGAGGGGTACATAGTAAGTAAGTTGATCCACAGCGCAACACGGCTTATGCCAACTCCCTGCATATCAGATATAGTCAGGCATATTTGGGTGATGTAATTAAGGTTCTTTTCACAAAACAAATCGTTGTAAATTCGGATCCCCCTTCCTTCATCGTTGGGGGTTTTTGGGAGTATTTCGAGGATGCACACTACTTTAGGAATATAAGTTCGTAGCAGTCCCCGATGCCTCAGTAATCAGCCGCTGGTCGTCTAGTTGGTTTATGGCACTGGACTGTAATATCATTGTCTGCTATCCAGGTGTCGTCGGTTCGACTCCGACCCAGCGGAGGATAGTTTTTTCTTTTTTTCTTTTTCTTTTTTTTTTTTTTTTTTGAAACCTTCCTTGTCTCCTCGTTCTCCTATCATATTGTTCCAAACCCCTCCCCTATTTCATAATAAGTACCAACTTACTTCGGGTTGGTTTTTAGATTTTTTCAAGGTTCAAGTTAAGGTTTTGGTTGGCACAGTCACTTCCTGACTACTGAGCGAGATTTGCTCCCACAACAGTAGCTCTTATATAAATTTTGAATCTCCACAGCTATATTCTATTGAGTATTGACAACAATTGAAAGGTTCAAACTTTTCAATATACTATAACTATGCCGTCTTACATGCTTTATGCAACCAATATCATAGGAAGGACTCCTTCGGAAGGAGTCTTTGAAATTACCCATTTTCGATGCAACCCGAAGCCAAAAAATACAAACAAATGAAGCCTAAAAAGAAGTCACTCCGCTGGGTCGGAGTCGAACCGACGACACCTGGATAGCAGACAATGATATTACAGTCCAGTGCCATAAACCAACTAGACGACCAGCGGAATTTTATTGGTCAGCAAGGCCGGACAAAGATCTTCGTTTATGGGTAATATGCATGCTGTTTGCACAGTTTGCAAGGCCTTTTTCTCCGGCATTTCTGAACAATCCGCATTTCAACATCAATCAGATACTTCTATCTCTTATATCCATGTCTTAAGCTCATGTCTCATATAATATGTGCGAATAAGAGGTTCTGTTTTTTGACATCAGTTTGAACATGAGTTTTGGCAGTCCCGGCGGTCGCTCCGTCAATATCAAGCCCACACCGTATGTAGTCAGACCGTCAACTTTATGCGCCCCTATCTCTTCGCCTAAAGAGAATATATGTGGCTTTCATCATGTTCCATATGTGCGTATGCTGGGATGAGTTTGCTAAGTCTACTGCTGTTATCGCTGATTTAGGCCTGAACGTGGAAGTTTTCCGCTTGATCATGATGGTACGTCATGGCTATTTTCCTTTTGGATCACTTATGTCCTGACATGTATCTCTACGTACACATTTGTATCCACAATTACTGGTACGCCCATTGCTGACCTTATACTTTTTAATTTGGCAGGAGAATGCAAATACATAATCTCATCATATCTCCGGTGTCTGAAAAAAGGTGGGGGTGTCAATGATGAGACCTGTCGCAAGTTAGCTAAGTCCTATTTAACATGTCGGATGGACAAGTATGTTTTACCACCCACTTCCCTTCCGATCGTGGGATGGGATATGTGTTTAATTTGGTCATTGGAAGACTAACATTCGTTATAGCAATTTGATGGCGCCGGACAGTTTTGAGAACTTGGGACTTGTGTTTGATGAGAACAACAAGAAAAATGGGACGGAGCCTGCTGCTTCTGCTGCCGCGGTGGCACCTTCCGAGAGCAAGAAATCGTGACTTGACTTGATTACAGTGTTCTACATGTTAGAGACGGAAACGATCACATCCCGAGATTATATCCGCTTTGAACTTTGTATATAAACATCATTTGGCGTTGTTGGTATCGCATTTGCGCTCCTCAGGCGTTTGCGGCTGGTTATCTTTGGGTGAATAACTTCGGTATGGAAGAAAGCCCACTCCACTTCTGTACGATATCTGCCCTGATAATTATCGTCGGCATGTCCGACATCATATTTTTACAGTACCTTTCCTCGCGCACATCCGTATTTGCTTTCCTGGCGATAAACCTTACATTATACGCGACATTACCTTCTTCTCCGGGATAGAGACGGAGGTTGCTGAGTGTCGACAAAAAACCTGGCTCATTGAAACGCTGGACAGAGACAGCAGAAGCGTGTGAGTATATTTAATACGGCGGCTAATAACACTAATGAGTGCCTCCAAATTTGCAATCGTTTGATGATATTTTGAATGTTGAATTGTGGAAATCACAGCATCATGCCACAAGCGGGCTTCAATCTTCACAAAATGGCATATGAGAGGAACGTATCGAAATCATGGAATTTTCACTACATACACACAAACCATTCCCTTCACTTCAATAGTTGTCTAATTTAATTGAGATTTCGATTTTCTACACCAGATGCTAGCTAGCTTATGTAATCCACGGAGACGTCTAACAAAGACGTTGCACCGAACGTATTCGAAGATGGGCAGGGTCTTTTGCCCATACTTGTGGAATTGTTGTTTGCAACTCAATTCAGCTCTTGTTTAAGGAGCCAAGTACTGCGCGTCCGCTTTCGGCCAACGGCCATATTGACAAACATACTAGTATTCGAGGCCGGCCTCCCTCCTGCGAACCAGGTCATGTAGGCACGAATGTCTTCAATCGTACGACCCCCAGATCCGTGCCTCGTTGCAATAATCCTTATAATCCAATCTCGCGCTGGCCCGCGTTTTGTCTATCACTATCCTCCCAACCCATCCACCATCATAAGCAATAAATCCCGTCGCAATTCGCGTCGGAAAAGTGGTGCTAGAAACTCCGAATCTAGCCTGTCCAGTGATGATGATCGGTCAAGCTCAGACGATGATGAATGTGGCCATTCGTCGGCTTCCTGTCGGGGTGCCAACGAGCACAGTGGGAGGAGCTGGCTTAGCGAGCAATTGAGTGATAAAGTACCTCACCCATCTTCGAGAGGGCATACTTCGTCCACTTCCCTACAGTTCAAGCGAAGAAGCGCAACCCCTGATTCTAAGCCGGATAATCAGTCAGATGCTGGAAGAAATGAGGTTCTAGGGGATCTCTATCGCCCGCCATGGGAATCTTTACTCGGACTGCCAACCAATGTGTGGGAGAAATTGCTAAGTCCGTCGCCCGCCTGGCATAAGCGACGATTTGAAGTGGGTGTTAATGACCTTGTGTTTGTGGGATGGCCCGTGTTTGTGAAAGACGATGGGACTTGGCGGAAATGGAAGCGGAAGAAGAAAGTTAGAACACAGCAAGAAGAGAACGGGGAGCCAGGAGTTGATGACAAAGAGAGGGGTGATCTGAGAAATAATGACATGTCTTCAAAACAGGCGTCGGAGACTGAAGGCGACAATTGCCCTGTCCCTGAACTAAAAAAAATTGTTGAGGATGACGTACTTCCTGGGTCGCCAGAAACTGATAAGGATTCGATGACAATGTTCAACGTAGTTTTCGTATTGAATCCACCTTTGCTAGAATACGGCTTGCGAGTACGGGAGAAGTATGAGAATGTGATCAAGAAGTTTGGCAAAGGGTTGAAGTCGGAGCAGGCAAGGGTAGACTACGTTTGGAAAGAGGCTCAAACGATTGTCAACATCAGGGAGAAGGCAAAGGAAAACAGTATGTATTCGATATGTGCTTCTCGTCCTTCACTTTGGGGTATTTTCGTAGACGTCAACTTACGTTTAAGCATAGAATTGTCCTTGTCTAGACTTTATTCGGAACTGTCCTCAAAGTCCTCCCTTGCTCGAGCAATATCTACAGTCTACACAAGTATTTCTAACTCCAGAATCGCGTCCGTTACCCTTACACCGGAAGCAACAATGTCTCTTCAAGCTCCGCCTTTAACGTCTACTTCCTACCTTCCAAGTGCCACGGAGAAAGCCTATCCCGGTTTATGGCTTACCACAGCCGACAGCCTCTCCGCTACCGATGATGCTACAGGGATGGACACAAGCGCCCCCAACCAGGCTCTAGCAAAGCATTTTGCCTTACTTCTACTAACTGACGAATCAACGGTCTTAAAAGACATTGAGGAGTCAATAGGACCTTTGGGCGCTCGACTTGCACATTACATTCGCGTCTCAAAGCCCACAAAATCATTTGCCCAAATCTCTGCCCTATCCGGAATCCCTCTGAGTGACATCCAGGTGCTTGCCAGCCATCTCGTCTACTGGCGGAGAGCCAGAGCCGTTCCCCCGCTCAGTCAACGGGATACGTATATCGTTTCCCCCAATGCTGACATGAGCAAGCTTGCGCAGGCAGCTGAGGTTTACGAAGCTGCATTCCCAACACTTCCCAGTCTTCCTAAGATGCTTCACGCACTGAGCGACACACCTAAACCATACTCTAGATTGATACCTAGCAGGGATCACAAGGACACTTATTATGCGATTCTGGCGTGGTTACTGAGAGGGGGTTGGGTGACCCAACTGCGAACATTTGGGTGGGTCAGAGTGGATCCGGAGATCAAACGGGCAGTGGATGAGGCGTTAGAAAGGGAGAAAAAGGAGAAAGAGATTGAAGAGAGAAGGAGTGGAGCATCTCCCACCAAAGAAGATTCTAAATCCGAGGGGCACTATAGTAAGCACGTTGACGACGATCATGACGACAATGATGATTCAAAATCCTCATCTTCTTCATCTCTTGAGAGCGAAGTTAGCGGCGAAACCACTCCTGTTCCAACCAGGTTTCTTCATCATCAATACCGCCACGAGGAGAATATTCAAGCTGAAAAACAAAAAATACGGCCGCCCACTTCTTCTCTTATCTTGCGACCTCACCGCGCCTCATCGCTAGAATCCCATTGGCTAGATGAAATTCTCTCACGATTCTCCGAACCCTACGAGCATGCAAACATGGACAACTCCAATCACACTCCATCCCCAGAAGATAGCATCGATGTGGATACTTCGCTCCAAAAGCATTGGCCGCTTTTCACTAAATATCTCAACGGCACAGATGCACTGGAAAAAATCCCGGTGCGCGAAGGTTTGAATCGGAAGGTCGTATGGCGCTTACTCAATAGGCTGGATCGTAGCACGTCGCCGTCCGGGAGTGGAGAGAATGGTTCTTCTTCATCAAAGGAAAAAGTGTTGGTAACTGTGAGACATTGGTGATATAATAGTCAAGAAGAACAGAAGCGTATATTTCCCTGAACCTTTCTTGGGAATGAGGACCATTATCTCCATTTCCTTGCCTAAGCCCATCTTAGCTTCCTTAGATCATACAAATATCCCTTAATCTAGTGTTTGCTGAATATATAATCTGCTTATTTGGATGACAATAATGATCACTGTGACCATTGAATGAGGGTACAAATTCCGCTCTGATCGCATCCGGTCGTGCGAATAGGTTAGTGGGTGTTAGAAGTATAAAAGAAAGAAAGGGGAACGGACTCACGTGAGGTGTTAGTGGAAACAAAAGCCTGGAAAGTGCTGGGCGTTGGTAAATTGAAGAATAAAGAATGCTCGAAGGGTGACGATACATAAACACATAAATATTCGCGGGAAGAAAAAAGCTAATCATAGACGAGTGAGGTGTATCTTAAAATATAAATATGAACCATATCGGACTTCGCCTTGCTAACAGTGACAATGCTCCAACATGCGTTTGGCTAAGACTGGCCCTGGTGTTAATTCATCGGCGGTAGGTTCAAAGCCCACGGTCACGCAAACAAAGCCTTTTGAAGAGTTTTTTGAAATGTAAATACATGCTCTGGCGATATCATTGTGTAATGCGCACGTCCACTTGATGCATTCGAGGCAGCTCTCTTGAGAAATCAGCCCATTTGCTCAATTTATTCTCTATCCAATCGGTTGGGTTCGCTGCTACCAGCTTCAGAGGTATAGCGTGGAATACATCTATGCTTGCCACGGAGCCAGAAGGTTCGTACTCTAATGCAGCTTCCTGCATCTTGTGGGCAAGTGTTATCCAGGTCCTCAACTTGTTCCTGGTTAAGATAGCTCCACCAAACGACTCTGTGCAGCACAAGACATGATGTGGTCGAGGGCGTCATCGTTAGAGAGTTCATGTAATTTAGGCGATAATTCGAGGGCGTGTTCCTCTGATATCAGGTCTAAGAAATAAGAGAGATTATACCAGCTTCTACCCAGTCGAGCTGGCGCATACGATCTTTGATACGTGGCGGTAGGTTGAAAGAGCCTAGGAACATAATTTCGTCCCCATTAGCTTCGAGGAGCTTAGCGATTTCAAAAGCAATCATGGCGCCAAATGATAATCTTGTGATTGCATATGGGCCCCAGGGCTGGGTCTCTTGGATGTGTCGAAAATATGTTGTACACATATTTCAGGGAGGTCAGTTAATAACTGCTCCCCTGTTTCAAACCCTCGAGCTCGGAGTGCATATAGCGGGCGGTCATTGATATACTTCACGAGGTTTAAGAAAACCAAGACTTCGCTATCACCCGGGATGTACAAGCCACAGAGGAGACTTTTCGCCGGATAAACGAAGTTTAACAACAGGATTATATTGTTTTGGTTGCCGCATTTGTTGTATCGCCGCCGCCATACCGTGGATTGTAGGGTCCATCAACACAGACATCAAAGGGATTTCCTGATCCAGGTGGAGAATCTTTTGTACTGTACATTTGATTTAAAAGCTATAATTTCAACAGAAGATACTCCCATATCCAGGAGACTAGTGTCAATTCCGATCTCCGAAGTTGGAGTGTGGAACATGTTCGCGAACAAATCAGCGATTGAATTCTCAATTTTACTCTCAGGACTCCTTAGATTGGTTTGATGGTATAGTCTTGTGGCTTCCGCTGCCGTCGCATAGTAAGTATCGTATTCCCCAGCGAGATATTCTGCCGCAATTTTTGGCCCTTGAGATTTTCCCCAGAGTCGATTTTAGGATTAGTGATGCGTCAACTCGCACTATCCAGTACGGACTTACCCCAAATAACCTGGCGTTAATCTTTGAGATTGCATCGAATGGAGCTGCAAAGCTTCCGGCGCTCGTATGACCATACGCTGGAGCGAACACTACCACCACTTTTTTAGTTGAGGCGCTATTGGGGCGATGAGAGAAGACGACTGTATACGTAGGGATCAACCAGGGGAGTTTGGCTTCTTCAATAGCACGTTCAAGCTCATGGGGGTAGTAATTCACTCCGTTTACTATAATGAGATCCTTTATTCGGCCACAGAGGTGTAGATAGCCAGAACCATCGATGAGGGCAGAATCACCAGTAATAAACCAGCCGTCATTAGTAAAGCTGGCAGACGTTGCGAGCGGATCGTTAAAGTATTCTTTAAACACTAATTCCCCTTTAATCTGCAGAGAGCCGGGAACATTGGGGATTTCGATGACACGGCCGTCGTCAGCAGCAACTCTTGCAGCCATACCTGGAACACATGGACCCACGGAGGTAAATTCAAAACTCATTTTGATATCATAGCTTGGGCAGCAGAGGTTATGCATCGAACCTGCACAGGTTTCGGTCATGCCAAATCCCGGGCTCACAACATTTCTCCTCGCGCCCAAGGCTATCAAATAGGTTGTGACATTGATGCAGGTTTGCAGAGAATTCGCTTCTCCTCCTGAAAATATGACCTTCAAGCATGACAAATACCAGCCTGAACTTGTTCTCGTATAGGTTTGCATTTTGTCAAGCAAATTTGACAACGCTGTCAGGTAAAAGTTTGGAGCAAAGGTCACGCTGATTCGCAGGTTGTGGATGAGGTTCAAGAAATATATTGGGCTATTCGAAACATCTGTCTTGTCAATAAAAACCTGTCTTGCACCCAGAGCAAGGGCATGCAAATGAATTTGGCAGAGCGACGCAACGTGATCTAGGGCAACCCATCCTAGGAAAACATCACTCTTTCTTGTGCCATGGTGAGATGTCTTCCCTGCCACCGCAGCCTTAATTTGGCTGTTTCCCAAAACCACGGCCTTTGCACTTCCAGTACTGCCTGATGTGAACATGAGGATTGCCGCATCCTCTGGTGCTTTTCTGTGACCGAAGTTTGCCCTGGAAACACAGTCGACTACATTTGGAAGAGTGCTGACGAGGTTTTCGACTGTGATAATATTAAGTCCGTCGATATTCAGAAACTCATAAGCCAGGCGGGCCGACGTGAGAATAAGTGGCTCTTTGAACAGTGACTTTAGGTGTAAATTTTGTTTTCGTCTCTGAGTTAGATCCATGACGAACGCAGGTAATATCGCAGGCACGTAGCCACCTACCACCACGGACCAGAGCCATATAATATTTTGTTCATGATTACCGAAATAGATCAACACTACCGTATCCTCTGTGACATTTTGAATACCATGAATAAACTGGGCGTTTTTATGAGCTTGGTACCAGAGCTGCTGTGTGGTCAGAACTGTGGATCGTATTGTTAAAATCTGCAGAGTGGAATTCCATAGGTGCGTTGCTGCAACTGGCAGACGACTCAAGCATTTCGGTTAGGTTTTGTCACACCATGAGCTTAGCGGCCATGGTAAATGAGTCCGTATTCCCGGATTTCAGTGGCACCAGTCCCTCAGGAGCACAGCTTGGCACCATGTTGAAAAATGCCCAACGAAATATTATTTTCAATTGGCGGACACTTTGGTTTTGGTGGTAACAGGTGAACAATAATGAGAACCAACGAGCGGAGTACGTCTATGAAGATTTATAAATAAGTAGACAACACGGAGGGACAGTTGGAATTGTCTGGTCTTCAATTAGAGAGGAAAGTAACAATGAGCAAAGCATACAGAGATTTAGGGAATGGGACCGATGGGGTAGGGGATAGTAGAGAGAGCAGAGACAGTGAAGGAAATATCAAGGAAATGGGAAGACAACCAACTAAGCAGATTTAGGCACACATATAGTTGCAATACCATTCCCAATCTTAAGATGCAGAAAATATATAGTCCAAACATCTGCTGCAACCAGGGTGGAGAAATTCAATAATGTGCGAGATGTGCTGCGCAGGGGAGTAAGGGGTTCAGTCCAGCACTCAATCGGACCCATCAAGGGAGACAAGAGGGAGCCGAGTAGAAGATTTGGACATGGTGCAAGAGATACGCACGACACCCTAAAATGGAGCATCACCAGTTCGCGAGAGTATATGTCCGTGGAAGCAGTTCACTTCAAAACTTTAGTCATTAGGAAAACACAGCTGTAGAGAGGGTGGCTATTTTATACGAGCCGGGATCATGGTTTCAGAAACGAGAACGCGGATTTAACATCAAGTCCAATTACCCCAAGATAGGGAAGCGGGGTATAGATAGTGGAGATTGGACAAAGGAGAGCGAAATCTTGCATTGGGATGGCAAGGGATGCTGTCATCCTCTAGCTGTGAATTGGGAGCGTTATTGGATACACCAAGTCAAGTCACTCCAGACCGAGACGGATAATTCAAGTTTCCGCCGACTGCAAGGGATTTTGATGAGAGGGGTCAGCGTTGCATTGGGATTCGAGGGAGTGGAAATCAGATCAAAGTGTACATCAATAATTCGTCTTGGTCAAATCTCAAGGGAAGACTCGCCAAAAGTGCATGGTAGAACAATGGCGAATTGTCTAATATATCTCTAGGGCAACTTTGGCAAAAAGTATAGAACAGGTGAGAAGTTATCCCACTGAAGATGCCTGACTCACGAGAAGGGGGTATATCGTGTGCAATTCGCGGCGGGCAGAACTCCGATTCCTAATTCTAACCGTCTGGAGAGATGACAGATAATTCTTAGACGTCCGTGAAATGAACCGTCGGGTAGTAACAAGAACTGTTAAGTGAGCATCCGTATTGGTAAACCCCAGTCTCCAAGTACGAAATGAGAATAATGCCCGGATGACCTGGGAACTAAGTTGAATCCTTAGAGCCAGCTCAAAATCCGCTCTAAATCTGCTATGATCCGAGTTACTGGCTTGATTGGAGCATTCAGGAAATCTGATTCGCTGAGTATTCTGTGCGTTAACTATCTCCCATCGAGTAACGGAGGGAGCTGTTCACACTTAACAAAAGTGAAGAAAGATATAAAAAGACTATTATATGAAACGGCGAATAGCAGCCAAATACAATAGTGTGAGCAATGGAAAACTTACGGGTCTTCGAGACTATTCCATTTTCCAGTTGTACAAGTGCGATGTGCTGTGTAGTGTACCCAAGTCCTGTAGCAGCGTTGAGCAGAGGCAGAAAAGAAACTGGAGCAAAGAATTAGCCAATATAAAAAGAGTTTGTAGTTGTCCGATATTACTTAAGGTAGGTCTGGCGGCGGATAACTTCTACCACCATTGTGTCCTTTTAAACCCCTTCAGTTTCCATCCCATCGGACAAGCCGTATTGGGAAACCGAATGCCATCATTGCACCTGTGTTTAAGGTTATTTGGCGTCGTTTGCTACAACGTGGAGCGTTCAGTGGTAAGCAAAACCATTGAGAATGTCAACACATCCAGGTTGAAAGGGGAGGAAACCAAAATGATGATATTGGCATCAAAAGTATGTCAATCGGTCCTGCACTATGTGACCCAGCATGCAAGAGATAAAATCTCATTAAAATATTTTAGCCCTTGGGTCGTCTTCTTCAAACAGTTAGTACTTGACGAACTCATATGCTAATTCTCAGGTAGTAACATTCTGCTGCGGGGTACGAGTATTTTTTTTTTAAGAAACTTGGAAGGTCGTGTACAGTGATACTATTCCTGCCATCAACCGCTGTCGATTGGGTTTGACGAAGAATTGTCTGTGTGACCGTAGAAGTATGCATCGGAGACGGTCAGAAGATGCATTGCGAGCTGCTATGGGCGCGCTTTTTAATCATTAATGAATCATGATATGTTTGGTCGACGTGTGATCGAGAGTAAGGCCGGGATCGGGTGAACTTGAGTCAATTCCTTTCACTTAGACACAAGCGTGTTCATTTTCTTTGCGATAACGAGGCAATTGGTACGGAGCAGTCTCGACATATTAAATTGAGCTTAAAGCATATTGGAGATGTCTCCTTTTAAATAGACTAGTGGTAAGAAGCTTTCGCATACTATCTCTTAGGTGGCCCAACACCTTCAGCAGGTATCTTTATACCATTTCTCAAATTACAGTCCAATATGGCAGGTAGGAAGTGATGATGGCGGCTCTAACAATAAACCGCATCTCCAACACTGAAAGTCCAGCGGCCACAAGTCTCAAGGGGATGGCTACTAGCAAAAAATCTTATATTACGAGAGGAGAGAAAATTGATTTGGTTTAATCGGCGATAGGAGCTACCTAGCTGGCCATGTTCAAGTAAG